TATTATAGAGATATGTTGCCTTGCACTTTTTTCTGCTGAAACACTGAATGGGGTATTACAAAGACATACTTTTCTCTGCTTCATCATAGTATTATAGAGATATATTGCCTTCCACTTTTGTTTGCTGAAACAACAGAGGAGGGTATCACAATGACGTACTATTTTCACTGTCTTCCTCTTCATCATAGTATTATAGATATATATTGCCTTGCACGTTATTTCTCCTGAAACACAGAGGAGGGTATCACAATGACGTACTATTTTCACTTTCTTCCTCTTCATCATAGTATTATAGAGATATATTGCCTTGCACGTTATTTCTCCTGAAACACAGAATGGGGTATCACAATGAGGTACTTTTTTCACTTTCTTCTGCTTCATCATAGTATTATAGAGATATATTGCCTTGCACTTATGTTTGCTGAAACACAGAATGGGGTATCACAAAGACGTACTATTTTCATTTTTTTCTGCTTCATCATAGTATTATAGAGATATATTGATATCCACTTTTTTCTGCTGAAACACAGAGGAGGGTATCACAATGACGTACTATTTTCACTTTCTTCCTCTTCATCATAGTATTATAGAGATATATTGCCTTGCACGTTATTTCTCCTGAAACACAGAGGAGGGTATCACAATGACGTACTATTTTCACTTTCTTCTGCTTCATCATAGTATTATAGAGATATATTGCCTTGCACTTTTTTCTGCTGAAACACAGAATGGGGTATTACAAAGACATACTTTTTTCTGCTTCATCATAGTATTATAGAGATATATTGCCTTGCACTTATGTTTGCTGAAACACAGAGGAGGGTATCACAATGACGTACTATTTTCGCTTTCTTCCTCTTCATCATAGTATTATAGAGATATATTGCCTTGCACGTTTTTTCTCCTGAAACACAGAGGAGGGTATCACAATGACGTACTATTTTCACTTTCTTCTGCTTCATCATAGTATTATAGAGATATATTGCCTTGCACTTTTGTTTGCTGAAACACCGAATGGGGTATTACAAAGACATACTTTTTTCTGCTTCATCATAGTATTATAGAGATATATTGCCTTGCACTTATGTTTGCTGAAACACAGAGGAGGGTATCACAATGACGTACTATTTTCGCTTTCTTCCTCTTCATCATAGTATTATAGAGATATATTGCCTTGCACGTTTTTTCTCCTGAAACACAGAGGAGGGTATCACAATGAGGTACTATTTTCACTTTCTTCTGCTTCATCATAGTATTATAGAGATATATTGCCTTGCACGTTATTTCTCCTGAAACACAGAGGAGGGTATCACAATGAGGTACTATTTTCACTTTCTTCTGCTTCATCATAGTATTATAGAGATATATTGCCTTGCACGTTATTTCTCCTGAAACACAGAATGGGGTATCACAATGAGGTACTTTTTTCACTTTCTTCTGCTTCATCATAGTATTATAGAGATATATTGCCTTGCACGTTATTTCTCCTGAAACACAGAGGAGGGTATCACAATGACGTACTATTTTCACTTTCTTCTGCTTCATCATAGTATTATAGAGATATATTGCCTTGCACTTTTTTCTGCTGAAACACAGAATGGGGTATTACAAAGACATACTTTTTTCTGCTTCATCATAGTATTATAGAGATATATTGCCTTGCACTTATGTTTGCTGAAACACAGAGGAGGGTATCACAATGACGTACTATTTTCGCTTTCTTCCTCTTCATCATAGTATTATAGAGATATATTGCCTTGCACGTTTTTCTCCTGAAACACAGAGGAGGGTATCACAATGACGTACTATTTTCACTTTCTTCTGCTTCATCATAGTATTATAGAGATATATTGCCTTGCACTTTTGTTTGCTTGCTGAAACACCAGAATGGGGTATTACAAAGACATACTTTTCATCTGCTTCATCATAGTATTATAGAGATATATTGCCTTGCACTTATGTTTGCTGAAACACAGAGGAGGGTATCACAATGACGTACTATTTTCGCTTTCTTCCTCTTCATCATAGTATTATAGAGATATATTGCCTTGCACGTTTTTTCTCCTGAAACACAGAGGAGGGTATCACAATGAGGTACTATTTTCACTTTCTTCTGCTTCATCATAGTATTATAGAGATATATTGCCTTGCACGTTATTTCTCCTGAAACACAGAGGAGGGTATCACAAATGAGGTACTATTTTCACTTTCTTCTGCTTCATCATAGTATTATAGAGATATATTGCCTTGCACGTTATTTCTCCTGAAACACAGAATGGGGTATCACAATGAGGTACTTTTTTCACTTTCTTCTGCTTCATCATAGTATTATAGAGATATATTGCCTTGCACGTTATTTCTCCTGAAACACAGAGGAGGGGTATCACAATGAGGTACTATTTTCACTTTCTTCTGCTTCATCATAGTATTATAGAGATATATTGCCTTGCACTTTTTTCTGCTGAAACACAGAATGGGGTATTACAAAGACATACTTTTTTTTCTGCTTCATCATAGTATTATAGAGATATATTGCCTTGCACTTATGTTTGCTGAAACACAGAGGAGGGTATCACAATGACGTACTATTTTCGCTTTCTTCCTCTTCATCATAGTATTATAGAGATATATATTGCCTTGCACGTTTTGCCTTGCTCTCCTGAAACACAGAGGGAGGGTATCACAATGACGTACTATTTTCACTTTCTTCTGCTTCATCATAGTATTATAGAGATATATTGCCTTGCACTTTTGTTTGCTGAAACACCGAATGGGGTATTACAAAGACATACTTTTTTCTGCTTCATCATAGTATTATAGAGATATATTGCCTTGCACTTATGTTTGCTGAAAACAGAGGAGGGTATCACAATGACGTACTATTTTCGCTTTCTTCCTCTTCATCATAGTATTATAGAGATATATTGCCTTGCACGTTTTTCTCCTGAAACACAGAGGAGGGTATCACAATGAGGTACTATTTTCACTTTCTTCTGCTTCATCATAGTATTATAGAGATATATTGCCTTGCACGTTATTTCTCCTGAAACACAGAGGAGGGTGTCACAATGAGGTACTATTTTCACTTTCTTCTGCTTCATCATAGTATTATAGAGATATATTGCCTTGCACGTTATTTCTCCTGAAACACAGAGGAGGGTATCACAATGAGGTACTTTTTTCACTTTCTTCCTCTTCATCATAGTATTATAGAGATATATTGCCTTGCACGTTATTTCTCCTGAAACACAGAGGAGGGTATCACAATGACGTACTATTTTCACTTTCTTCTGCTTCATCATAGTATTATAGAGATATATTGCCTTGCACTTTTTGTTTGCTGAAACACAGAGGAGGGTATCACAATGACGTACTATTTTTACTTTCTTCTGCTTCAATTTAGTATTACACAGACATATTTCCTTGCACTTTTTTCTGCTGAAACACAGAATGGGTATCACAATGTACTATTTTCACTTTCTTCTGCTTCATCATAGTATTATAGTTACATATTGCCTTGCACTTTTTATTCCTGCTCAATTACTGGATGTAGCAATAGATACACTTAATTCTTTGCACATTCTTCTGTTCCATGACAAAATCTGTAGTTTATATAGACGCCCAAGCACGACAACGCTTCTCGGCGCTTGTCACCCCTCTTAGTGTGATATCTGCCAACTTCGAGACATAGGTACGCACTTTTATATTAAAGCTTAAGTTGCTTGAGATCAATTCTAACCCGGATCTTCACGGGTTCCTATAACGGACCAGTGAGAGTAGAACTATATAGACTAGTTCATTAGTTCTGTCTAGTTCCTTGTGTGTTCCTAATAGTATCGCCACGCAGTAAAATCACATGTATAAACGTTTTATGAACGATAAGGTGCAATATATTTTCACATGCAATGAGAACCAACATCCATGTTTTCTAATTCCTGGGATATGTATGGATACGATCAAGTCAAGTTTAATTTGGGAATATATCGTTTATTACATGTAAGTTTCATTATAGTAACCTACATATAGAGGTATATGAAAGTTGTTAGATCTATATGTAGGTGTTAAATTAATATTTTCTTTCTTTTTTTTCTCTATTTTTCTTCCAAGATTAATAGTAAAAACATTTATGTAAATATGATGTTTAAATTCATCTGGTGGGCTTGAAGAAAAATTATGATGAAGTTTGGACCATAATAAAAGATTTAGTACAACATTTCTAAATACAGGTTCTTGAAAGTCTTTAAGGTCTATGTCATTGTTCAATTCCTCTGTCCATATCTTTTTTCGATTTAGTTCGTACAAAACTTGTGAGCTCGGTGTCGTCTTTTAGACAGACAGACAGACAGACAGATACATAGATAAACTACCCTTCTAAAGATTAGACTCACTAGTGTAAATGTAGCCACTTACTTCAGTCAACTGTACTCAAGGTACTATTTACACATGAACTGATGTATTAAACAAATTCGTAGCGTTGAAAAGATTATTGTCATGATAAATAAATGATATAAATGATGAAACTCAGTGAAAATTGGCGAATTCTTAAAAAATGTAACATATAGTGAAAGTCTACTCTTTTGATCGGTACACCGATAGATAGATAGATAGATAGATAGATAGATAGATAGATAGATAGATAGATAGATAGATAGATAGATAGATAGATAGATAGATCTTTTGAATTTATTATTGGAAGTGGTGTTCTTTTTATTTCCCGATGTATGTTCAAAACTAACTTTGATGCCTTTATTCTTGTAAAACTCTATTTGTTGCCCGATGTATGTTAGTATTGTAAAACAAACAATTATCGCTAATCAATCAGTTGGTGAAATTGGTGAAAGCCTCATTAACCTAAATCCGTAAATGTTAACGGCCTCGTAAAAGAATATAAGTTAAGTGATGTTGCTTTGTATTGGTCTAACATCCTTTGTTTATCACAATATAGATCCTGCTCACAAACTGTCCCATGGAATGAATTTTTATTATGTTCCCCATTTCAGATCCTACTTCCTACTTTGAGACCTGCGACGGTGGTACGCTTTGTGCTGGTAGTCTGTGTGGCCGTAGTGGTTATACGACTGCTGCGCGAAGCACTCCAAGACTCCATCGTCCACAAACGGGACGAACCATGTCCTGCTCCTAAAGACGCTCCAACACCGAGTCCTAGGGTGGTGTTGCCAGGAGGTGTGAAAGACGAATCAGAGTTATTCAAAGTCCATTATGAATCTGTATGGGGAATACCGAATTATGCGTTGGTCGTTGAGAAGGTGAGGAAAGTAGTCTACAAACCGATCAAGGATCCTGCGAAGAAAGCGTCTGTTCAAAAACGGCCCTTAAAGAAATTTGCGTGGTACAATACACCTACGTGGATGGTTGGTGAAGCTTACACTGATTTCTCCCAGTGTGAAGTCAGTGACTGTGTGATGTCCCTCAACAGAAGTCATGTTCCCACAGCTGATGTTGTCTTGGTCCACATCGACCTACTCAAGGACTCTGACGTTCCCAGTAACAACCCGGACCAGTTCTGGGCTTTCTATACAGCCGAGACAATTTATCAATTCGTTAACCCAAGGCCTATCCAACGGGCGGACTGGATTGGAAGATTCAACTGGACGTTTACCTTCCGACTGGACTCCGATTCTCCTTCCACGTACTCCAGACTCATCCTGAAAGAAGACTTCGTCGACAGCGCTAACTACACAGATATCGTCCACAAGAAGACCAGATCTGTCCTGTGGTTCGTCAGTCACTGTGAGACTCAGAGTAAACGGAAGGAATACGTTGAGGAACTGAGGAAGTACATAGATGTTGATATTTATGGTCAATGTGGCAATCTGAAGTGTAACGGACAAGAGTGTGACACGCTGTGGAGTAAATATTGGTTTTATTTGTCTTTTGAAAACTCAATATGCAAAGATTACGTAACGGAAAAGTTTTTCAACACATTTAATAAGAACATCGTTCCAGTGGTTCGAGGGGGTGCAGATTACCGTACTCTGTTCCCTCCAGACTTGAACGTCAACACAGCAGACTTCTCCAGTCCCAAAGCTCTGGCAGATCATCTGAAGGCTCTGCAGAAAGACCTACCTGGCTATACTAAAATCCTCAGGAACATGGCCAAGTACAAACAAGGGGGGAACTTCCTGAAGGGTATCCCCTGGATATGTGACTTGTGTGCTATGGCAAACAAGCCTTTGGTGAGGAAGACATATTCAAACATTTATAGATGGTGGACTGAGGGTATTTGCTTCGAACCAAAGGACATCTAGAACTTGACCTTCAATGATCCTACAAAACGGAATTGGGTGAAATAACTTTGACGCATCAGTGACAAATGATGTCTGAAGCAATTCCCTATTTTCACTTGGGTCAAGTGTATTATTGTGCCATAACTGTTGGGAACTTTGTTTTCGTTTCCTTGTGGTTGTAGCGGGTGTTGGTGGGATAAGCTAAGGGTTTACACCTCTTATCGTCACTATTTGATTTACTATTGGGCTCTATCTCAGGTCTTTTGTTTGTTAAGTATTGTTCTTTTTGCAGAGAAAATTAAACATTCCATTTTCTTCTTGGTTTTGTGACTATTACAATCAGTTGCGGCAACAACAGAAATGAGATTGAGAACGACTTCAAAATGGTGACTGCAGGTAAGGAAGCTAACTGGTTAAATTCAAGATGGTGCATCCCAAAACAACCAGGTATTATCTGCTGATATAATAGTGGGGGGATACTTAGTTAGAAGCCATTGGATGCAAAGAATCCTTTCCTTCTCCACTGTGACCCTATAACTCGTTTAGACTTGATCTCAGCTTCTTTTTGGCTCTGGACCAAGAACCATTATCATTCTCTGAATCTCTAAGCCCATTTCGAAAATCAATATTGCCTTGGTGATAACAGTGGGAGATTGCACATGATACTAGCTCAACAAACCCACAAATATCTGGATGGGTATTATATCATATGTCAGGGGGGACTGTAGTCGCTTGGGCATTTCTGGTACCACCTGGGGTAGAAGGGTAGCCTAGTGGTTAAAGCGTTCGCTTGTCACACCAAAGACCCGGGTTCGATTCCCCACATGGGTACAATGTTTGAAGCCCATTTCTAGTGTCCCCCGCTGTGATATACCTGGAATATTGCTGAGTACGGCGTAAAACTAAACTCACTTACTCAGATATAGTTTTGCCATTTGGTTATTATGAACTCCAATGAGTATTGTCTACAGTTTGTAAAAAATTGGTACTTTAAAAAAATATATCCCAAATTATTATCTGTTAAAATATCGTTCAACCGCCTCTGTTTCCATTCTATCCTCCACAATTCTAGCGCTTTATGTAAAACATGCTGTTATCCTTAGAAGCAGTATCTTATCTGAGCTGTAATTTCTTTTGTAAAAATGTCTGTAACGTGTGCTGTATATACACTTGTATTACTTGTATATGGGCCGGAGGCCTTAAGTACAATAAATATCTGTGACTCTGACACACATGGCCGAAGCTCCCTACACCGACTCAAATGGATTTGTTTTAACTCAATGCTTATTTGCTACTGGGAATATCAGTAGAGTCGGCATAAACAAGGTACTGTGTATCTGTATCAAAAATGAGCAATGATAGAAACACTTTTGAGCGAATCTGCCTTCTCCAACAAACTGGGACGTAGAGATAGATGAGTGGTTGAAGCGTTCACCCGTCACACCGAAGACCCATGTTCAACTGCCCACATGGGTTCAATGTGTGAAGTCCATTTCCAGTGTCCCATGTGGTGATATTGCTGGAATATTGCTGGACACGACGTAAACCCTTGCTCCTAATCACTGTACATGCTTTGATGTGTGTTTTCCTATCACTGTTTTCATAAGTGGCTTCCTATCAATGTATTCCCTACATGGGTACAATGTGTGAAGCCCATTTCTGGTGTCCTCCGCCGTGATATTGCTGGAATATTGCTAAAAGCGGCGTAAAACTAAACTCACTCACTCACTCACTCTTATCAATGTATATCCTACCATGTATATCCTTTTCGTTGAATAAACACTCTGTACTATGTCATACCAATCTAATCTATTGCAGAAACATACCACTTAATCTCTTTGAACACTGTACATCTCAATCAAAACATATCACTTAATCTCCTTGATCTCTGTCAGTAATCTCACAGGCCTTCTGTACACACTATATATTTTGCTCGTATCATTTACCTGACGGAGAGGCAAGAAGTAGCCCAGAAACGTCGTGTTGTAAATATTAAAGAAGTTGCAAATCGATAACATAAGTTGTCATACCAGATGCCCATCAAGCATCTAACGTAATCACTCACTCATGACAGAGGCCGGACCAAACCAATGCTTTTCTTTGGGACCTCCAGAGATGAGAGGTCGACGAAGATTCAAGGTCACCTCAGACATTCAGGCTCATTAGAACTTCCCTGTATGAAAACAACCTAATGATTCCACGAAAGGCGCAACAGCTGCTTATATGGGTTCAATTAGCGTTTATTCTAATGAGATTCAAGCACATGCCTATGGTTTTATCACCTATTGTTGTTGTTTAGGTGTTTGATGTGGTTCAACAGACACGTGTCACACGATCCTTCATAAAGATCTTTGCCATTCGAACGTGTCTGGTTTTAGTACTGAGTATTGAAACGTGTGTGGTATCAGTACTGGGCACTGAAACGTGTATGGTATAAGTACTGAGTATTGAAACGTGTGTGGTATAAGTACTGGGCACTGAAACCAATAGGCTACCAGAGAAGTTGCACATCCACATTTGACCACTACGTCAACGACAAACCTGAGAGGTAGGGTTGACGTCAAAAGTATTGTCATTGTGAACAGTGAGTGAGTTTAATTTTTCGCCGCTTTTAGCAATATTCCAGCAATGTCACGGCTGGAGACACCTGAAATTCGCTTCACACATTGTACCCATGTGGACAATCGAATCCACGTCTTCGGCGTGACGAGCGAACGCGTTAACCACAAGTGACAATGCAAGCACCAGACAAACCAGTGAGTGACAGTGTAAGCACCAGCCAAACCAGTGAGTGACAATGTAAGCACTACACAACCCAGTGAGTGACAATGTAAGCACCACACTAACCAGTGACTGACAATGTAAGCACCAGACAAACCTGTGACTGACACTGTAAGCACCAGACAAACCAGTGAGTGAGGTGAGGTGAAATTGGGTTTAACGTCGTGCTTGAGAATATTTCGCTCATATGACGACGTGCATGCGTGTGTATGAGTATGTGCGTCCGCTTGAACTAGCCCAGACTTATGCTGGTTTTATAGCCCACTGAGATACCATGCCGCAGTGAAGCATGAATACCCCACTCAGACACATTATACCAGTCCTTGTTGTACCCATTAATGCCGAGCGTTAGGCAGGGACCAACAAGTACCATATTTTAACGAATTTTGGTATGACGCGGTCGGGGATGGAACCCGCGAACTTTCGCTCTCCGGGTGGACGCTCTAACCAATACACCACGGAGGCGGTCACCAGTGAGTGACAATGTAAGCATCAGACAAACCAGTGACTGACAATGTAAGCACCAGACAACCCAGTGATTTACAATGTACTCACCAGACAAACCAGTGACTGACAATGTAAGCACCAGACAAACCAGTGAGTGACAATGGAATTACCAGACAAACCAGTGACTGACAATGAAAGCATCAGACAAACCAGTGACTGACAATGTAAGCACCAGACAAACCAGTGATTGACAATGAAAGCACCAGATAAACCAGTGACTGACAATGTAAGCACCAGACAACCCAGTGACTGACAATGAAAGCACAAGATAAACCAGTGACTGACAATGTAAGCACCAGACAAACCAGTGAATGACAATGTAAGCACCAGACAAACCAGTGACTGAGAATGAAAGCATCAGACAAACCAGTGACTGACAATGTAAGCACCAGACAAACCAGTGATTGACAATGAAAGCACCAGACAAACCAGTGACTGACAATGTAAGCACCAGACAAACCAGTGACTGACAATGAAAGCACCAGAAAAACCAGTGACTGACAATGAAAGCACCAGACAAACCAGTGACTGACAGTGTAAGCACCAGACAAAACAGTGACTGACAATGTAAGCACCAGACAAACCAGTGATTGGCAATGAAAGCACTAGATAAACCAGTGACTGACAATGAAAGCACCAGATAAACCAGTGACTGACAATGTAAGCACAAGACAAACCAGTGATTGACAATGTAAGCAACACACAACAAACCTGAGAGGTAGGGTTGACGTCAAAGGTATTGTCATTGTGAACAGTGAGTGAGTTAAATTTTCGCCGCTTTTAGCAATATTCCAGCAATGTCACGACTGGAGACACCTGAAATTCGCTTCACACATTGTACCCATGTGGACAATCGAATCCACGTCTTCGGCGTGACGAGCGAACGCGTTAACCACAAGTGACAATGCAAGCACCAGACAAACCAGTGAGTGACAATGTAAGCACCAGACAAACCGGTGACTGACAATGTAAGCACCAGATAAACCAGTGACTGACAATGTAAGCACCAGACAAACCAGTGACTGATAATGTAAGCACCAGACATACCAGTGAGTGACCAGGTAAGCATCAGACAAACCAGTGACTGGCAATGTAAGCACCAGACATACCAGTTACTGACAATGTAAGCACCAGACAACCCAGTGACTGACAATGTAAGCACCAGACAAACCAGTGACTGACAATGTAATCACCAGACAAACCAGTGACTGATAATGTAAGCACCAGACATACCAGTGAGTGACCAGGTAAGCATCAGACAAACCACTGACTGACAATGTAAGCATCATACAAACCAGTGACTGACAATGTAAGCACCAGACAAACCAGTGACTGACAATGTAAGCATCAGACAAACCAGTGAGTGACCAGGTAAGCATCAGACAAACCAGTGACTGACAATGAAAGCACCAGACAAACCAGTGACTGACAATCATAGCACCAGACAAACCAGTGACTGACAGTGTAAGCACCAGACAAACCACTGACTGACAATGTAAGCATCAGACAAACCAGTGACTGACCAGTGACTGACAATGTAAAACCAGCACCAGGTAAGAGACAAACCAGTGACTGACAATGTAAGCATCAGACAAACCAGTGACTGACAATCATAAGCATCAGACAAACCAGTGACTGACAATGTAAGCATCAGACAAACCAGTGACTGACAATGAAAGCACCAGACAAACCAGTGACTGACAATCATAGCACCAGACAAACCAGTGACTGACAATGTAAGCACCAGACAAACCACTGACTGACAATGTAAGCATCAGACAAACCAGTGACTGACAATGTAAGCACCAGACAAACCAGTGACTGACAATGTAAGCACCAGACAAACCGGTGACTGACAATGTAAGCACCAGACAAACCAGTGACTGACAATGTAAGCACCAGACAAACCAGTGACTGACAATGTAAGCACCAGACATACCAGTGAGTGACCAGGTAAGCATCAGACAAACCAGTGACTGACAATGACTAAGCACCAGACAAACCAGTGACTGACAATGTAAGCACCAGACAAACCAGTGACTGACAATGTAAGCACCAGACAAACCAGTGACTGACAATGTAATCACCAGACAAACCAGTGACTGACAATGTAAGCACCAGACAAACCAGTGACTGACAATGTAAGCATCAGACAAACCAGTGACTGACAATGTAAGCATCAGACAAACCAGTGACAGACAAACAAACCAGTGACTGACAATGTAAGCATCAGACAAACCAGTGAGTGACCAGGTAAGCATCAGACAAACCAGTGACTGAAATGCATCAGACAAACCAGTGACTGACAATGAAAGCACCAGACAAACCAGTGACTGACAATGTAACCAGACAAACCAGTGACAGACAAAGCACCAGACAAACCACTGACTGACAATGTAAGCATCATACAAACCAGTGACTGACAATGTAAGCACCAGACAAACCAGTGACTGACAATGTAAGCATCAGACAAACCAGTGAGTGACCAGGTAAGCATCAGACAAACCAGTGACTGACAATGAAAGCAGCAGACAAACCAGTGACTGACAATCATAGCACCAGACAAACCAGTGACTGACAGTGTAAGCACCAGACAAACCACTGACTGACAATGTAAGCATCATACAAACCAGTGACTGACAATGTAAGCACCAGACAAACCAGTGAGTGACAATGTAAGCACCAGACAAACCGGTGACTGACAATGTAAGCACCAGATAAACCAGTGACTGACAATGTAAGCACCAGACAAACCAGTGACTGATAATGTAAGCACCAGACATACCAGTGAGTGACCAGGTAAGCATCAGACAAACCAGTGACTGGCAATGTAAGCACCAGACATACCAGTTACTGACAATGTAAGCACCAGACAACCCAGTGACTGACAATGTAAGCACCAGACAAACCAGTGACTGACAATGTAATCACCAGACAAAC